GACTGTGGGGGAAACCAGAGCACCCAGAGGAAACCCATGCAGACACGGGGAGAATGTGCAAACTCCACACAGACAGTTGCCCGAGGCTGGAATCGAACCCAGGTCTCTGGCGCTGTGAGGCAGCAGTGCTAACCACTGTGCCGCCCTAATAAAGGTAGAGACATCATAACAAGTTATCAAGGTGATGGTGACAAAACAGGACAGTAAGGAAGTTAGTACAAGTGGTGTGAGTGGAGTATCAACAGGCTGAATAACAAGTCTTTGTAGGTGATCAGAATTGTCAAACATTGTGAGTAAAGTGTCAACAGCTGAATAGCAAGTGAAGGGATGACTTACGATCTGATTAATTCAGGCAGAGAGATAATTACAAAAAATCAAAAATGAAATGGTGCTATAGACAAACCCAATGGCTGGAATAATCCAAGATCACAGTTAAGGCTGTCTTTATGGGGTTGTCAAAGGTGAAGACATTGTGGTCGAGGATGAAGCGGATGAGTTGTAGGATGGCATCTGGAAATTGGCAGTTATTGGTATTGAGTAGTGAAGCTGTTGCAACAAAGCCATCGTTGTGGGGGATGCTGGTGTAGAGTGCCGAAACATCCATTGTGACGAGGAATGTTCCTGGTTCAACTGGTCCGTGAGTGCTGAGTTTCTGTAAGAAGCCTGTAGTGTTGCAACAGAAGCTGGGGGCTCCTTGTACAGTGGGTTTCAAGATGCCCTCGACATAGCCAGAGAGATTCTGACACGAGGGTCCTGTTGCCTGATATGATGGGACATCCAGGTGTATTTGCTTTGTGTATGTTCAGAAGGCAGTAGAAGTCCCCTATGTGAGAAGTACGTGGGATGAGAGTGCATAGGATACTCTGAAGATCTAGATCAAACGTCTTCACCTTCGACAACCAGCTCTTCATCCAGACACATGGAATGGCTATGGGGACCAAATTTTCATGCCAGTATGCCAACATTTTCATGCACAAGTTTGAGCAAGACTTTTTTGCTGTACAGAACCTCCAACAGTGAATGGACACCACATGACTATTGCCAGGCAGAAGTGTTCCCTCCCAGTCGAGGAACACTTCAGCAGTCAAGGACATTCAACTTCCAATCTGCAGCCTAAGGCAGCCTTCAAGATACACAACAATGCAGAATCACTGAGCAGAAACTGATAGCCAGGTTCCGCACCCATAAAGACGGCCTCAACCATGATCTTGGGTTCACGTTGCGCTACATGTAAGCCCACTGTACTGTCCTGTGCTTGTAAAATCTTCCTTACTGTCCTGTTTTGTCACCATCACCTTGATAACTTGTTATGATCTCTCTACCTTTATTAGTTTGCACAATTTTGGATTACTTGTTACTCAGATCAAGCCATTTAGTTTGTCTCTAGCACCATCTTATTTTTGATTTTGTGTAATTATCTCTCTGCCTCAATTAATCGGATCATAGGTCAGCCCTTCACTTGCTATTCAGCCGCTAACACTTCACACAACATTTGACACTTTTGATCACTTGCAAAGACTTGTTATTCAGTCTGTTGACACTCCACTCACACAACTTGTACTAACTTTTGACACTCTTAATTACCTGGAATTACCTTGCAATAATCTGTCTGTTTATAAATTCTGTGCCTGTGAATTTCCCTCCACTTCACCTGACGAAGGAGCAGCGCTCTGAAAGCTTGTGATTTTGAATAAACCCTTTGGACTATAACCTGGTGTCACGTGACTTCTCACTTTGTCCACCCAAGTCCAACACCAGCACCTTCACATCTTGAATCACTGCAGTCCATGAAGAGAAATTTTGCTTCAATACTGCTGTTAACAGTGGTAGAATTACAGAGCCCTCTCTTGAGAAATTTATGTCAGGATTTCCTATGATAGTACATCACAGCAAGTGCATCACTGTTTACATCACATTACTGTGTTTCTGAAATCAGATGGATTTACACACAAACATAGGAACACAGAAAATAGGAGCAGGAGTAGGTCATTTAAACCTTTGAACTTGCTCCTCTATTCAGTATGTTCATGGCTGATCTTTCAATTCAGTCCCCTGTTCCTTCTTTCTCCCTAAACCATTTAATCTCTTCAACCCTTAGAATATTACCTACCTCCTCCTTGAAAGCATTCAATGTTTTGACCTCAACAGCCTTGTTAGGAATTAATAATTGTAGGCATTGTTAACAAGTAGTCATTATCTCAGCAATTCCTGACCAATTAGGTGTGCAAAACATTGTTGGGTGTATTGCATATAGTTTGTGGAAAAACGAGCTTCCTTCATTTGACCACTGTGTTAATGGAGCCTTGGGTATAGAGTGAACTTCATCCTAACTGAACTGCATTTCAGGCCCATTTTCCTCCTGGTGGAATGTATAGCGAAGGGGCAACTCACTGTAAGTCACTGAGATACATTCCCTGGTACTCTATATTTCTGACATTTGTAAAGTTTGCAAACTTAAAATAAGAATTCCCAAATTCCTCTGATACCTGGGCGCAAATGAATTGGTGTCGAGGTAAAATAAATAAAAAGATGCAATGTTCTAGAGTCTGAGAATACAAAATGGAGAAATATTTCTTGTCACTAGGAGCACTATAAACATGAGTATTATAGAATATCTACAGTGTGAAGCAGGCCATTTGGCCCATTGTGTCCACACCGATCCTCTGAAGAGCATCCCCCTACCCTATTCCTGTAACCTCACATTACCCATGGCTAACCCACATATCCCTAGACACTATGGGCAATTTAGCACAGCCAATCAACCTAACCTGCACATCTTTGGACTGTGGGAGGAAACCCACGCAGACACAGGGAGAATGTGCAAACTCCATACAGACAGTCACCCGAGGGTGGAATCAAACCCAGGTCCCTGGTGCTATGAGGAAGCAGTGCTAACCACTGCACCACTGTGCTGCCTCACTTGTTATACTTAACACCACACAGTTTGGGTTATGTCATCATTATTTCAATAGTTAACATTTTATAGCCATTCGGTATTGATGCCATTTTTGTATCTTATTTTGTCAAAAGTAGAATTATCCCTTTTACACATTAGCTTACATTGATTGAACATTTTCCTACGACCACATTTCCCAAACACACTTGGTAATACGGATTTAGCTCTGCATCTCATTACACTGTGCACAGATTTTGACACTCAAAGTGATTAATTGAAACCAGTGTCTATAAAAAAATTCCACATCTTAAAAGGCATTTATACTTCCAAGTAAAAATACATATAGTTCCAGTTTAGATTGTAATACGGTACCTTCGGAGAGCTGGGAAGTGTCTCTACTCAAAGGAATCTGTCCCTTCTGTTATAAAGATGCTTCATTTTTAATAATTTTTGAGGAATTATTGTTTTGGATATTATTTGGAGTTCAGCTGGAGTACATCCAGGTGAGAGAAGCCAGTCAGCTCATTCTCTGCTTTTCTAAGAACACCCTTTTGGAGAGACCTGAAAAACTGATACAGCTGTTCTGCTGAAAAGCCTTTGAATTCTTGACATCTTCTGAACAAACAGTGCAAAAAGATCCCAGGGACAGCTGCCTGTGGTTAGTGACACCCCTTGTTTGTGTATGACAGGATTCCCACAAAAAGCGATCTTGAGCATTTCATTCTTTATTTCCGTCAAGAATTAACAATTATCGGTGCAAGTTTTTTTTCTCAAAATTAAATCTCTGCAGAGAAAGTTTTTTTGTAAAGTGGTGTGTGTGTTGGGGTTATTTTGAAGGGTAAATATTTATACTTTGCTATTTCATTCTTATACTTTTACCATTTCAATCTGTGTTAATTAGCTTTATATCTTTGTATAGTTAGTCCTGTTGTTGTTTATTAAGGAAACTTTTTGATGGATCTCTTTTGTTCTAAACCTAATATAGCTAAAGCATATAATTGACAATATCGGTAACTCGGAAAAGCATTTAAATTCATACGGTGACCAGTGGAGTGGTGGGCCAAAGGAACAAGTGTTTTCCTCTACCTTACACCCAGATTCACAACTAGTGACAGATTGATCCTAATGCTTCAGCTGTTATCTTTGTGTTTCGTAAATTTGATGGTCTCACTGCGCTGTATTTATGAAGGATGAGTTGAACAAGAGGGAATTACAAATATAATTCTTCAAGGTGTTAAACCAGTTAGTTTCTTTCCCAAACCATTTTTTAAAAGGAAGCAATCGATATAAAAACAGAAAGTGCTGGAGAAACTCAACAGGTCTGCCAGCATTTGTGGGGAGAGAAGCATAGTTAATGTTTCGAGTTAAATGACTCTTGTTTTTTAGTTATTTAAAATTCCACATCCATAGTGCTTTGCTTTCATTTTAAGGAAGAAATTGATGTTCCACTTGCTGCAATTGAATGCTAACAGTTGACAGCTCAAGCTCTAGACACTTGGCTTGCCTGCTTGTAACTCCAGCCGTCTGAACTAGATGTGTATCACTGAATGAAATGACTGGTCTAATTGCATGTCCTGCTTGGCAGCAGAATGGAAAATTTATTTACTTTTTTTTAATGGGATGTGGGCATCGCTGGCAAATATTTTGGTTAACTTGTTCACAAGACGTGGGTGTTGTCCCATTTCCCATTGCCCTTGAACTAATTGGCTTGTTAGGGCCATTTCAGAGGGCAGTTAAGAGTCAACCACATTGTCTGGAGTCACTTTTAGACTAGACCAGATCAAAAGAGTAGATATCCTTCCCTAAAGGGCATTAAAGAACCAGGTTTTTATAAAAATCATTGTTTGTTGTGATGGTCATTGTTACTAAGACTAGCTTTAATTTCCAGATTTATTCATTGAATTTGCTGACTTCTTACTGTGGGTTTGAACTCACATTCCCAGAGCATTTAACTGGATCGCTGGATCACGACTACTCCTCTTCCTCATTACTCCTGAAAGAATTTACTATCTCCTTCTTTTGGTTGGGTCGGATGGTGTATGGCACGCAGGGAAAAAGCAACATTCTTCAGACATTCTCATCTTGTTTTGTTCTTTTAACGCAGCCGAGAAACATTGGGTGGCTACTACGAATATAATGATGTCGGAAGCTGCCAAGAGGTTATCCACCTGTATCACTTGCTGTGGTCATCAACAATCCTCAACATTGTCGGCTTGTTTCTTGGGATTATCACAGCAGCAGTCCTTGGATCCTTTAAAGATATGGTACTGAATTTTCTTTGATTGTAGAAAATTAATTTTGGAATAATATCACATCTGCAGTGTCACTTCTTTTTGTGAGATAGGAGTAAATAAAAACTTGCCTTTTTTTTTGAAGCAGAGATAGTGGAGGATCTCCTTCCCAATCTATTGAACAGATAATCTTGGCCAACCTTTCCTGAATCAGTGTTGGGGGAGGCCTGCACTCTGAGTTGCTGTCCACTACTTAAATCATGTCTTCCCCTCACATTGGATGTGAAGAATTACGTGGTACTGTTAGGAAGAGGAGCATAGGAATTCTCTTCATTACTCTGGCTAATATTCATGTCCCAGTCAATAATACTGAAACAAGTTATTAAGTTTTGGGTCACATTGCTGTTTGAGGGAATTTCCTGTGTACAATTTGACCTTCGCATTTTTTGTATTTCTACATTTCAAAAGTACTTCATTGGTTTTAAGGAATTAGGGATGTCCCATTATTATGAAGGCCACTGTATAAATCCAAGTTCATTCTTGTTACATCAACAAGCAAGGAGGTAATAAACTCACAGATCTGTTGTTACACTGCCCTATAGCTTGAACCTGAAAAAAGGTTCATAATGATCTTGGAAGTGAATGGCCATTCTTTCTCCATTTCCCCTGAGGGAATACTTCAGCAGTCATCCTGGCTAAATTCCTCTGATGTCTTGTTCTTTTTACAATTCTGCATTATTTTGTGCCTATGTAATCCTCTGGAATTTCATCTTTTGTGGTTAAGAGCGTGTGAGTAATGCAAAGGAATTCATGGTTGGATTGAGAAGAAACCGTACAAATTATTTCATACTTTGTTTGAATTAACTAAACCCTTAACATGAAACAAAAACTTTAGCTATCATTGTACTTGTCATCAGTACTGGACTAGGGGGGAACAAAATCATCTTTTGCACAATAGAAGATCCTACAATTACATAGAATATTTTCTTTCAAATTGATTTGAGGTTGACAGAAAGGATATGAGCTTATATTTGCCCTTTTATTCAAAGTGAGTTTGAAGTTCTGATTTTCTTGATGATCATCATAGCCTCAGAGATATATCTTGAATTTTGCTAAGAAGGAATAACTCCAGAACCCTTCAAAAATGTAAAATGGATGCCAATGCTATGCTTCCTAATTCTATTCCTGGGCTTTCCAATTTTTCAGAGTGCCATTTAAGGGTGCAAATGGTTCGGGGTCACAAGACTTCACCTAGCATTACCAACCTGGCCAGCTCCATTATGGAGAAAGGCATAGCCTACTTTTTTTTTAATTCATTCATGTGATGTGGGTGTCAATGGCTGGACCAGCATCCCTAAATGCCTAGAAAGCAGTTAAAAGTCAGTTATATTGCTGTGGGTCTGGAGTCGCATGTAGGCCAGACCAGGTAAGGATGGCAGATTTGCTTCCCTAAAAGACATGAATGAACCAGATGGGCTTTTCCTGACAATCAGCAGTGACCATCATTAAACTCTTATTTCCAGTTTACTATTGAATTCAAATTCCGTCACCTGCTGTGGCAGGATTCACCGTACACTTTCCATTGAGTTGGGGCAGCTTTTTAAAGGGGCATGGTCCCCATCATTACAGAGGTGTAGTGAACCATAATGTGCATCAAGGATGAGTTGAGAACTTCTCCTCCTCTTGCCACTTTTGCCAATGTCTGCCCTTCCACTCACCCCCAAAGCCCCTCATGTCACCTATGCCAAGTGTCCATGTCATTAACCTACCACTGTGCAGAACCTAAAAATAAACTTTTAAAACATCATTCAATAATTACTTTGCACCTTTTTAAAGTAGAGTCTTTTTTTGACACTTTTACTGTCTTGTGGTTAATCACCGAAACCATTTAAAATATTGATAGCAGAAACTGCAAGCACCTAAAAGCTCTTAGCACAGTGAAACTTAGTTGAGAGCAAAGAAATCATTACTCTGTTGAAAGACCTAACCCCCTGGGAAAACATTAATTGACAGTAAAATAAACAAAGGACTGAGGATAGTGGAAATCTAAAGCAGAAATAGCTAGAGGAGCTCAGCAAGCCTGCCAGGATCTGCAGAGAGAGAACATTTCAAGTCCAGTGACCCTTCTGCAGAACAGTCTGAATAGCCAAATCCGTTTCCCTGAGAAGACATCAGAGCATTCTAATTGGTAATTGTATTAGAAAACTGAAATGGTATCTCTGTTGATATTATGTGATTAGAGTTGTAACAGAGTCCTATGAGGTTAGCATGTCACTTTGAGGGGCCATGCAGTTCAGCATTAACTCATTCATTCCAGATTCTGTAGTGATTTAGTTGATGGGAAGGGAGGGATTTATACTGGGGCTTCTGTATCCCTGGAGATGTCAGAGAACACACAACCTGGATTTTTGCTACCAGCTGGAGACAGTGGGAATCAGGAGGAAAACTCTTATGATTGGAATCATACCTGCCATAAAAGTAGATGGTTGTGGTGGTTGGAGATCAGTCATTTCAGCTCCAGGACATCTCTGCAAGAGTTCCTCAGAGTGGTGTCCTAGGCCCAACATGTTTTATCAATGGCATTCCTTCCATCATAAGGTCAGAAATGGGGATGTCAGCCCCTGATTGCACAATGTTCAGGACCATCCATGACTCATTAAATTCTGTGTCAATGCATGACCTGAATCATATCCAGTTTTGGACTGAAAAGTGACAAGTAACATTTGTGCCAAGCAATGACCATTTCTAACAAGAGAGAATCTAACCATCACCATTTGACACAACATGGGGTCACCATCACTGAACCTCTAAATATCAAGATCCTGGGGGTTACCATTGACCAGAAACTGACTGGACATATGGCACCGTTCCTTTTGCGTTGCTGGCTCAAAATCCTGGAACTCCCTCCCTAACAGTATGGTAGGTCTACCTACAGCAAACAGACAGCAGCAGGGCAATAAATGCAAAGAGGAAAAATTCAAATATTTGCACAGTGCTGAGACAAGACACATCCAGACTGTTATGATGTATTATTGCATTGGAATTTAGGATCGGGAATAGGTCATTCAGCCCCTTGCTTTGCAATTCAATAGGGATATGGTTAATCTGAATAAAAACCATAAGAACTGCAGATGCTGTATATCATGGTTAATCTGATTGTGTCTCAACTCCACCTTCTTGTCTGTGCCACCCCACTTTTATTGCATTGTCTATCAAAAAATCGAACTCCATCTTAAATAAACTCAACAATCTAACCTCCACTGCTTTCTGAGGAAGACAATCTCACAGATTAATGACCTTCTGAGAGAAAGCATTCCTCCTTATTGTTTAAGTTATTGTGCTGTGGTTAAAGACGGATGTACGGTACTTAGAGCTGTAGAATGCATTGGATAAAGTACCACATGGAAGATTACTGTGGAAAATAAAAGCTAATGGTATAGAGTACCACGTTACTCTTGATAGAAGATTGGCCAACTTACAGGAAACCCAGTAGGCATAAATGAGACATGTTCTGTTTGGCAAGATGTAACAAGTGGTGTGTCACAGGCATCAGTGCTGGGTCCTCAACATTGTACAATTGATATAACTGATGTGGATGAAAAGGATAGGGTGGCATGGTGGCTCAGTGGTTAGCGCTGCTGACTCATAGCCCCATGGACCCGGGATCAATTCCAGCTTCGGGCAACTATCTGTGTGGAGTTTACACATTCTCCGGGTGTCTGCACAAGTTTCCTCCGGATTCTCCGGTTTCCTCCCAAAGTCCAAAGAAGTGCAGGTTACGTGGGTTGATTGTGGAAAATGTAGGGTTACAGGGATAAGGGCGGGGTGGGATCCTGTTCAGAGGGTCGGTGTGGACTCTAGGGGCTGAATGGCCAACTTCCACACTGTAGAGATTCTATGATATCTATAAGATATCTTATGATAACTATATTTGCTGACGGCACAAGGATAGGTAGGAAGGTAAAAGCAAAGCACTGCGATGCTGGAGATTTGAAATAAAAAAGTGCTGGAGGAAGTCAGCAGATCTGGCAGAATCTGCGAAGAGAGAAATAGAGTTTAGCATTTTAAAACCACTAAGACCCTGCTTCAGAACAGGGAAGTAGGAAAACGAGTTGCGAAGAAGATACAGGAAGCCACAGAAGGTTAGATGAGTGGGCAAAGATCTGGCAAATGGAGCACAATGTGCAAATTTGTGAAATAGTCCGTTTTGGCAGAAGAACAAACAGAAGCACATCACCTACACGGTAACATATTACAGAACTTTGAGATGCAGAAGTATCCACGTCTCCTCATGCATGAATTACAAAAGGTTAGCGTGCAGTTGCAGCAGGTAATTAGGAAAGCTGATAGAATGTTGCTTTTGACTGTGACAGGAGTTGAATAGAAAAGTAGGAAGTTATGTTTCAGTTATACAGCACACTGGTGAGACCACATCTGAAGTGCTACATGCTGCACTAGTCTCTATTTAAGGAAGGATGGAAATGCATTAGAAATATTGAAAAGATTAACTGGAAAAATACCTGGAATGGGTGAGTTAACTAATGAGGAAATGTTGCACAGATTAGGGCTGTATCTGCTGGTGTTTAGAAGAGTAAGAGGCCACTTGCTTGAAGCATATGAGATCCAGTAAGGTCATGGCAGGGTGCATATAGAAATGATATCTCCTTTTGTGGGAGAATCTAGAACTCAAAGGCATTGTTTAAAAATAAGGTGTTACTCATTTAAGCAGATATGAGGAGATTTTTTTTCTCGCAAATAGTCATGCATCTTTGGAACTCTCTTCTTGAGTAGGTGGTGAAAGGAGAGTCCTGTTTAAGACAGATTCAGATAGATACTTGATAAAGGACAGGGTGAAAACTAATCAAGTGATGGTGGTAATGTGAAGTAATTGGATCAAACATGATTTTATTGAATGGCACAGCAGGCTTGAATGGGAGGAGTTCCCTATTTCTCCTAATTGGCATGTTCACAAGTTAAACTTCTAGACCCCTCCAGTAGAAGAAACAATGTTCTGGTATCCACCATTTCAAATTCTCTCGGGATCTGATAAGTCTTCACAAGATCACCTCCCATTCTTCTAAACTGATATTAAAGATAAAGTTGCTATAGGGTTGCGCTCTCATTAGAGAGAGATGACTGGCAGTGGTTTCAATTGAGAGTTACCACACCTCAGGCAAGGTGAGAGGTTGACATGGAGAGTCCTTTATGGTAACCTCAGCCAGAGTGTGAAGTGAACCCATGCTATAGGCATCACACTGCAGTGCAAACCAGCTGTCCAGCCAACTGAGCTGATGAACCTCCTAAATGTGGATACATTAGATAAATCAGTATAGGCCCAATTTGTACAACCTTTCTTCATAAAAATGTTCTGAGGAAGGGTCACCGGACCCGAAACGCTAACTCTGCTTTTTCCTTCACAGATGCTGCCAGACCTGTTGAGCTTTTCCAGCAACTTTTGTTTTTGTTCATAAAAGTAGCCCTTTATTCCTAGGAATGAATTGAGTGAACCTTCTCTGAACTGCTTCCCATGCAATCATATCATTTTTCAAATGAAGAGACCAAAACCAAACACATATCCTCAATGTGATCTTGAATGTGTCGGTGAGACACAATTGCTTTGTGCAGTGTTAGAAATTATTATATGCCTCATTACAGAGCTTCAACCACTACTAAATCTCTTTAGCATACTGCCCTCAAAGTAGTACAACCATGTGAAAATGGACAATTGTTATTACTTACCTCTGCAAAGATTAGCTTGGCAGCAGTGATTAGCACTCACACATGATATAATTAGAGGTTACATTGAGTGAACACTTTAAAATTAATTTGGCTTTTAAGAGAACATGTCTTATGATGTGGTTTCTTTGAAGTTTTTTTGTTTCCTCTTAAAGCAGGCTAGGTGGAGAATTTCTTTTATTCAAAATAAACTCTGATGATGCAATAACTGGTATGGGGCCATTTGCTACTTTCAGTTTTGAAACAATAATCAATTCTGACCTCGTTAAAGAATCCACTCCAAAACAAACTATCTCTGTCAAACAAGCTAAGTGTTAATCATTACTGAGAAGACACATCATCTTGGACTAGTGCCTATCTTAACCTTATAAGGTCACAGGCTGTGAGATATTGAATACAAGCTATATCAATGACTAGGATGAACGGACTAAAAGTATGGTAGCAAAATTTGCAGATATCACAAAGATAGAAAAATAAGCTGTTGAAACAAGGTAGAGAGTCTACAAAGGTATTTAATAGGTTATGTGCACAAAAAATTGGCAGATGGTTATAATGTGGGAAAATGTAAACTGTCCACTTTACAGGAGGAATAGAAAAGCAGTATGTTATTTGAATGGAATTTTTTTTTCACACACAGAACATCAGCATCATTTTCTGGGCCAGCATTTATTCTCTGTCCCTAACTGCCCTTGGGAAAGTGACAGTGAGATGCCTTCTTGAATTACTGCAGGCCATTTGGTATAGGTAGACACAATGCCATTAGGGAGGGAGTCCCAGCATTTTAACCCAGCAACAGTGAAGGAACAGCAATATATTTCCAAGGCTTGAACATGAGTGGCTTGGAGGTGGAATTTGCAGGTGGTGGCACTCCCATGTATTTGCTGACCTTGTCCTTCTAAATGGTAGTTGTGGGTTTGGAAGATGCTGTCTAAGGAGCCCTTAGTGAATTTCTGCTGTGCCTCTGATAGATGGTACACTCTAATGCCCAGTAGCAGCAGTGGTGGAGGGAGTGAATGTTTGAGGAGGTGATGCCAGTTGTGCAAAATGCTTTGTCCTGGATGATGTCAAACCAAGTATTGTTCATCTACAGTCATGCAGGCAAGTGAGGAATATTACTTCACACTCCTGATTTGTGCCTTTTAGATGGTGAACCCACTTTGGTAAGTCAGGAGGTGAGTTACTTATTGCAAGATTCCTAGCCTCCGAGTTGATCTTGTAGCCACAACACTTTTGTGACTGCTCCATTTCAGTTCCTGGTCAATGGTAAACCCCAGAAAGTTGAAAGTGGAGAATTAAGTGATGGAGACGCATGTAGTGTCACGGGGTGATGGTTAGATTCTTTCTTATTAGAAATGGCCATTGCCTGGCACTAGAGTGTAACTGTTACTTGTTACTTGCCACTTGTCATTCCCAGGGCTGGGTACGTCCAGATTGTGTTGCACTTGGGCATGAACAGCTTGTGTATTCAGGTACTCAGAGATTTGGGCAACCAGGTATATGAATAATGAGAAGTTAGTCTGTGGGTCTGGCAAGTGATTCAGAAGTCACATGGAATATTGAATTACAAGTGGGCCCTATGACCTCTGCTCTTAATTTATGTTTTTGTGGGAGAAAACATCAACATTTCAATATTTAAAAGTGGCATACATGAAGAGACTTTACAAAAATTGCACCTTTTTCTACAGTGTTAAGATACTACTGACCTTCTCGATAATGGTACCATATTCCTGGACTCAGGAAATGTCATTTGGGCTACCTCATCACTACCTGGCAACCAATACAGGGAAGTCCATGAGACACATCTTGATTTTGTACAATCCTTTAAATGGGTTGCTGGCCATGCTGTCACTCAATTTGCTTTATCCACAAAGGGCTCACCCTATGTATACATTGAGAGGGTAGTAGCTGGACAGCCTGTAATACTATTGCCCCATCCTCATCACCTGGACTGATATGTGACAGTAGCAATCCAAGTGTGCCTTTGGAAGTCCACTATAGAACCATTTTCCAACATACATCCCTCTGGTCCGTATGGCAAGAAGATTGGAAGCATGGGAAGGGGTGAGTGATATCTTGAGCATCCAGTGCTCTGGTAAGTATAGATGGTAGACGAGTAACTACACTTGGACTCCTTTAGCATTGAGTTAAGTATTCTCAATAGAATTTTTGTAATTACTCAGTTGGTAAAGGTTCTGTTGCACTTGGAAGTGATCTATACAACTAGCAAGATCCCAGGATTGTTGACCAGTTCATGATATATAGGGCAGCACTTGGTGTGTTGCAAGTCATCTCAACCCCTCAATGAGCTATGAAATTGTAAGTTGAAAGTTGCCAGGAAACCTACCCTTAATCTGAGAAGTGTACAGCCCACTGACATACACACTGTGCTCAAACGCTTGGAGAGTGCCTGCTTGGGATGAGTAATGGGAGAGTAGCTAGTACCTCCAGAGAAATGAAATATTTACCATACAGGAGGAAGCCATTCAGCTCATGATGTTTGTGCAGTGCAGAATGTACATCAGCAGGAGTGTATGGAATTTTCATTTTCTTGTATAAACTTTCAAAATTTAACTCACAAATATAATTTTGAAACTTAAAATAGGAACAATTTCTGCTGCTCTTTAATCTACATGCTCAGTCGAAGTATTTAAACATTTATTGCATGTCAAGTGATATTGTGGGAGCACACCCTTTGAAAGAATATCCACAGTTAACTGCACATGTCTATTGTTTTTCTCACAATGGCACTGTAGGTAATGGTGCTCCCTGATGTAATTGTCTTTGTATGGTTAACTTTCACAACTAAAATATTCACACCTCTATTAATAGCATGAAATTTTAGTCTTTTATTAAAACAGGTTTACTTCCAGAACAGCCCGAGAACCACTTCACTGAAGAGATCAAGTGTAAAACTTTAAATTAGTTTCAGGTATTTGTGTTTGCAGAAGTAATATAGAATTAGTTCACTCCTGTTGGACCCAAGTAGTTACGTGTGTCTTCCTCTGATATTACTCCAGCAGACACCAACTGCTTCTCGGATCACCTATGCACCTGAACCTCCAACTCCACCCATAATGTATGATCCTGGACAGCAGGTACTAGCCTACACAAACTTCTATCCTGGGCCTCCACATCTGCCACCTTACAGCCCATATGATATTCAGGTACTTATCCATCAAAATTGTTAAATTAAAATCACTGCATCTTCTTCCATTACAGCACTATTGAAATGAAATGTGACATATGCTAAATATGCATTATTTAAATAAAAACCAAAAACAAAAACCAAACAGATACTGTAAATCAGGAACAAAAACAAAGTTGCTGGAAAAGCTCAGCAGGTCTGGAAGCATCTGTGAAGAAAGAATTAGAGTTAACGTTTTGGGGTCTGGCAACATGTCTATGTTCTGAGGAAGGGTCACCGGACCCAAAATGTTAACTTCGATTTGTTTCTTCACAGAGGCTGAGCTTTTCCAGCAACTTTGGTTTCGTGCATTATTTAAAACTTGGTACTCTTTCGCTGTGAGGTACAGTTAGCTCAGTTGACTTCGTAGCTAGCTATGGTTCATAGTAGTTTGGCTTTGTGAAAAGGGGTGAATCATATCCCCTCTTTTCAACTTCTTTGGTTGGCTGCAACAGACTTTTAAACTTCTTTTCTCGTACAAGGCTATCCCTCTCCCTAATGAAAAATATTGTTGCCAAATGTCTAAAATGACAGTAAGGAGTCAATCACGAGGCTCCCATGAGTGAAATAAAGAACAACTTTATTATCTGCTCCAAGAAAAATAAAGATGTAGCATTAAACATTCACAGATACAAAGTTAAAAAGGGTTAATGTCCAAAACAAAAGGGAAATGAAAACATTGTACAGTTTAAAGTCATTAGGGTTTCCTTGAGGTGTAAGGTTTTAACCTGAGACCATGTTTTTTTTTAATTGATGCCTTACATCCTCAGCAAAAACAAATATGTCAGATGGCCTTTTGAATTTATGGTATTCTGATGGGTTTTCTTAATCAGCTCTGTCACCAGGACATTTTCCTTCTTGAGTGTCTGAGTTTATTGCTTCAAGTTTGATAATTTCAGGTGATAGCTTTCATTTACAGTTTGTAAAACTTACCATGCAGGTAGATTCTAAATTTTCTGTAGATCATGCAGTAACTCCACCAGTAATGATGCAGTTCCCATCCTGGCTGAGGTAGAATTGGATCTGTCGCTTCATCCTGCCCAATCCTGAAGGAGGTGGTAGGCAATAGCAAACCACCACTGAGAAAAGCTGCTAAGAAAGTGGATCAGAGCAAAGCATTAGCTGACAATGACCAATGACCTATCTTCAGGCAAATACACCCATTAGATGCCATTTGGCATTGTTTTAAAGATGACAGCAATACAGGCTTCTCCAATAGGTAAACATAATCCATGACGGCAGTAAGCCAAATGCACCAGAAGGTTCTTAGACATGTTGCTTGCACCTTCCTAAGATGTAGCCAAATTAAGATCAGCCTCATACTCGAGCTTCATAGGGAAGAAAGTTAGGCACTTGATTTGGTATGTCAGAATGTGTAGGAGTTGGGTGAGGATAGGATCATAGACACTGCTGTCCTGAATTCCACATCAAATATTATGCCAGTAAGTAGGGTTCACCTGTCAAGAAATGCAACTTGGATTTGGCTCATTAGAGTCATATAAATGAGACACAAGGCCCTCTACTGGATATTTCCCACATCTTGTCAGTTCCAGAGTTTGAATTGTGATCTGCACAAAATTTATGCCAAAGTTAATCAACACTGTAATGGTAACAGTCCCTTACCAATTAGAAGTCTAGCTCCATTGTCTGTGGCATGGTAATTGCAATAGTTTTGGTGCCAAACTGTTGTATATCTGCTGTAGATGATGGTACATAATATTCCAAAGTTCAGCCCTTTCTAAAATACACAGTAAATTTCAGAAAAATGCTGGCTGATAGCAGAAAATGTAGTCAGCTCCCAATACAATATATGTGCAAAATAATTGAAAATGAAGATCAATACAGATGGCTCAAAAGTTCAATCAATAATTCTGCTTAATGGGTGAATTACCTACCTGACTGTTAGACTTTCGCCAGACTCCTGGACTGGAATACAAGAATAAATTTCCAGTGGTCAGCTTTGACAAAAGTAAGCTTTTAATATAGTTTCCCAACTGCAAAACTAAAATAGTCCTACAACCTATCTTTCATCAGTTATGGGCAGGAAAGTCTTTTGTTTCCCATTCTGCTGTCGTGGAGTTCACTATGGGCATTCCTCGTACAATGGAGACAGAGCTTACCAAACCTCCTCAACAGCACCTCATTTCCTAATTCTACTTATGCCATTGGTTCCTAAGTACTCCATGGCAACTGGATCTTTCTCCTCTTCCTACTGGTTCTTTTCCCAGCTGCAATGTAATGTTTGAACCCTAACCGGAGCAGGCAACACAACGTTTGGAACTCTTGGTCTTGGCTACAGAGAACAATATCTATCCCCCTTATATACTGTCTCCCATCACTATGAAATTCCTTTTAATTCCCCCCAGACCCTAGTGAATGGCCTTCAGTTCCATAGTGCCGTGTTCAGTTTGATTATCCACCCTACAAACCCTTCCATCATCCAAAGGCAACGAGAACTGGTTGGATAAGGACAATGGTCAACGATCCTCCTGTAATGCATCTGGGGTACTCCTACCTCCCTGATTACTTGTGACAGCCTTTGTTTAATGACTACTAACCAGATCATTACCACTTCCTAGCCTATTGGGTATGACTGCCTCCTAGGACAGGAACAGAGTACAGCCAACTGTTCCCCTCTCTAATGCCCCACAACATCTGCAGCTTAATTAGTCCAAGCTGAAGTTCGTAGCAATACATAAACATACTGTGGATGTAAGGGCAACATGGAGCCACAGTGGTTAGCTATCTCCATGGGTTTCCACTGTGTGCTCAAGTTTCTTCCCACAGTCCAAAGATTTGTAGGTTAGTTGGTTTGACCATGCTAAATTGCCCTGTCGTGTTCAGGGATGTGCAGACTTGGGTGGATTAGCCACAGTAAATGCAGGGTTACAGTGATGGTGGGGGAGGTGAGTCTGGGCAGGATGCTGTTCAGAGGGTAGGTGCAGGCTCGATGGGCTGAATGCCCTCTATCTGTACTGAAGGGATTCTATGATTCTGTGTCGTAGGGATATCATAGTACTCTCCACAAACTCCCATATGCTGTCATTACTGCACGTCACTTCCACTGCCATCCCTAAATAACACGGTTTTACTTATTCAGTCAACTTATTCAGAAAAAATCGAAAACCATAAGCCAAGAAATTTATCCAGATTTGGACATAGCTAGACTAATTTAAGTATTGACTCATTTTATGAGCACTGCTATTGCAGGCATAAAACATCGCCTCCTTTCCCCTCTCCAATTCATGCTCCCAATGAATTTCCAAATTTTACACTTTTTCAAAATACTCTGTGCTGCTTTTTTTCATAATCCTCTTTGAGTCACACCCATGTTACAATACCGGTTCTGCTTCCAGGAATGAGAACCTATACATGTCATCATTTACAGCTAATTGACAGCCATCGTAAATGTTGACTTAAGTTAGTTTATTTTAGTTTTAAACTTTCTTCCACTTCAGAGAAATTGCATTGCAAATCCAAGCTGAGAAAAACTATTCCTGGATGGTTGGGTTCCTGGGGAGGAGGTCTGGCAAGCCCTGGAATGAGAACAGAGGCTGCCAGCTGCAGATGTGGGTTGGGTGTAATGCCAACTTCTGGGCAACTGGGACTGTCTGGAAACAAAACAAAATGAAACCAAAAATGGCCCTCACTGCTCACAGATTTCTCCCCACTCTCCATGTCCCATCTGTGCTAAATCCATGCCACTTCATACCATCCAATATCCTTCCTATGCCCCTCTACCCAATCCCCATTGCCCTTTATAGCCCCTGTCCTAACCTATGCCCTGTACCCATCACTTTACCCTTTATAGCCCTTAGGCCAAAGGAGTGCCAACTCATGCCAATATGTCAATCACCTTTGACTTTTACCTACCATGTCTGCTCCCTAGTATCTTCCATAGACAGACTTCAGGACCCATGCACAGTGAAGACGAAATGAAGTTATTTGAAAGAAAATTCTAATGCAACCACTCGGCATCATATCAATAGGCATATCACTGCTCTCCAAAAAGCTATGTGTCCTGACTGCCCAAAATAAATTCACAGAAACAGACCCACTGTGTGGAGGGGAGAAAAAATTTAAAAGGACCATGCACACTGAAATGAATCAATTGTGCAGTACAAAGGGACATTAGAAAATAAAACATTTCCTCCAGGAAAGGCAAAGAGAAAAAGTCCCAGCCTTCTACATGGGTTGGGCTGCTGCCTTTGTCTGCACAGGTTGTTTTCATTCAGGGCTGCCATTATCATTTGAACATTGACAAGTTTTATATCCATTTCTACTGTACCAGGTCTCCCTATAGTTTCCAGACTAAACCTCGCACTCCTTCCAGAGCCCTTTTGGGCTGGGATGTTTTCCAGGTAGCCTGAGGCTAATGGCAGCTATATGTATACATCCTTACTTCTTGGCCAATGTAAGTCAGTTGACCCTATAGTTTGCAGCAGGGCAAGTCCCACTCCCTAAAAGTGCACCAGGCTACATTGTATGTTAGTTTCAACACACAATGATATTGTTGGACTTTGTGCTTTCTATTGTGCTACATGCTTTCAATCATTTAAAACTGTCCCATTAAACCACCTAGTAACAAATTTGAGATGATTGTTAGGGTTAGTTTATCATGAAAATTTAACCTTTTTTTTCTTTCCAGTCTGCAGATTGCGCATTTGTGTTTTGTGCTCCTATAAACTCTAATTTTGTAGTTCTAAGTCAAAACTACATTGCAGCGTTTCTTTCCTCCCTTCACTTTTTGTCAAAAAGTAGGTCAGTTTTCTTATGTATTTTTGTGCACTTAGCAACTAAGGAAGAGCCTCAGGTGTCTCACTTGGAGCGTAAACTGCAGCTTGCACCATAGGGCTGCAGAGAAGGTATTCCTGAGGAAGATACTATTGGCATGTCTGATTCATGCTTCTGAGTAAAGGGTGTAATCCAGGCTTGTGCCCTCTCAAAGGGTCCAATCCGGCCTACTACCTGGTTTAAAATACAGGATATACAGGTGGAAAGTTATGGTTCTGCAATCATGAGTGAGCCTCAACCTATCAGCCATAAATGCAGGAGGAATTGGCTTCTGATTGGAAGAACATTGAGCTGTTCAGATGTGTCTCTTGATTCATCCTGAGGCCTGTGCGCAGCAGAAATGGAAAGTCTGCTAGGTGAGAGGCTACATAGGACAGGGTGCCTGCCAGGCAGGTTTGGGGCAAAGAGGCTTCATGTTGGAAGAAAAGAGGAGGGTCACTGCTCCCCATGTTGACACTGGCTGCCTGAAGAAGGTGGTCAAAATGGCACAATGGGTTCAAAAGCCACAGGGCTGAGAGCAAGCAAGGGGCAGAGGTGTAAGGGAGATAAATGAGCAAGGGGTAGAGGATGGAGGGGAGATAAATGAGCAAGGGGCAGAGGTGTAAGGGAGATAAATGAGCAAGGGGTAGAGGGTGGAGGGGAGACAAATGAACAAGGGTAGAAGGTGGAGTGCAGGGGCAGGAATGCAAGCAAGGGGCAGAGGACCAATGTGTTTTTTTTATCCATTCATGGAACATGAGTGTTGTAGATGCAGATACAGTTACAACATTTAAAAGACGTTTGGATAGGTACATAAATAGGAAAGGTGTAGCGGGATGTGGGCCAAATGCAGGCAAATGGGACTAATTTAGTATGGGAAATCTGTTGGCATGAATGAGTTGGATCTAAGGGTCTGTTTCCATGCTGTATGGTTCTATGGCTCAATGGAAATTTATTGCCCATCCATAAATGCCCAGAGGCACGTTCTATCAAATTCTGGATGCTCGTGATTGGTCTTTGAAACAAGCATCTAATCATGTTAAAATGAAAAGCATCATTGTCATAAGTGCTTGATAAATTGTGTATGTGTGTGTTCGCATTGTATGAGACCATTTGCTGGTTAATAGCATGTAAACAAACTGTCATAGACATTAGGATGTACTCTCTAACAGATTTATTTAATGTCTATTATTTTTCTTTACCAGCATCCCAGTATATTCTCAGCCTCCACGCCATCTGATGATTCACAGTCTATTTCACAATCTGCTTCAAGTTACATGTGGCCGCCAAACACTCCTCCTCGCTACTCGCCAGCGTACTTCCCACCCGATGAAAAGCCACCACCCTACACACCATAGATCTCTCCTTATTTTCGTCATCATTACAGACTTTGATCTTTTTGAAGACCTTCATTGCAAAGGCATCGTCCACACAGATCACTTTGTGATCTCCATGTGCATACTCTTACACACAGTGATGTGTTTGTAGAAACTCTTCTGTTAAAACCAAACCATAAACATATCATTCTGCTACTTGTTAAGGGTATGTTAATCCTAATTTGTTGGAAAATGATGCTGTTATACTTTAGGGTGTAATTAAAAGAAATCAAAAATTTGGAAAGCTATACCATTAGCACTATCAGATCAACCATGATCAAATTAAATGGTCGAACAGAAGTAAGGGGCTGAATGGTCTACACCTGTTCCTATAATCCAAGATTGCTAATTTATCATTTAAGTTGTGCAAATATATAATTTAAAAGTAAATGATCAATTTTGGCTTTGTTACCTTTTTGGAAGCTTTTTTTTACTGGTTGAGATCTCCACTTTTTAGCAGTTTGTGAGGCACTTTGAGGTTTCTGTGCACATTTTAGATAAATATCTAGATGAACATTTCAGTTCTGCTATTATTGAAATAGATCCTGTTTAGAGGCCCATTTCATATCACAAACTAGTGGAGAACTAGGTAAATGTGTCATAGCAAGAGTCATAGGGAGTTTGGTTCCCCTTTCAGTGCTGAGTAAGGTGTTTTCTGCTGGAAGACATTTTGATATTCCAATTGATCTGAACTGAGTGGCCCTTCAGTAAAAAATGGGGAAGATCATCCAGGGTTTGAGTTACTGATTGCACCCTGAGTGAAGTCAGTGTGTGAGGACATTTGATGAGAATGGGGCAAGGCTTAAGAGCCTGTTCCTGTTCCTTATGGTCTTTATGGCTCATGGTTCACATGTGCCATGATCAATGGGCAAGGTGGAGTAGGCACATGCTAGCAAACATTGAGTTCCTTTGGGACTGAAAGGGAGGGAGAAAAATTAAGCCTGAGAACAAATGTGGCTCTGGTTACCAGTTTCATCTCAAGCCAGCTATAGATGGATGAAAACCACACTTTCTTAAGCATGTAGAAAGACTCAGATAAGAATAGAAACTTGGATTATCAGTGCACAGTCTCTAATGGCTGTTTACAAAACACAACTGTTGGAATTCAGATTCCTGGTGCTTGTATTTTGAATAGACCTTCTGACATTTTGAGGGAAAGTAAGAAAATAGTCTATTTAACAATGACTGTTGCCTTATCCATTAGAAAATAAATGGCTTGGAATGTGTTTGAAGGTTATAAATAATTTTAAAACCATGCATGAACAACAGAGGGGCTCATGTCCACCTCACCAAACAGTCCATGTCAGAGATGCCTCCAGTCTGACTACCATTTAAAAGATAAAACAGAATTGCAAATAATGAATAATTGTGGGGCGGCAATGTTCACAGGATTTATGGAGCATATTCCTTCAAGTTGTAAAGGTTTTGGGCTTTAGACTCTGTGAAAAATTAGCAGAGTTATTCCAGAGATAGCAGGAACTGCAGATGCTGGAGAATCTGAGATAACAAGGTGTAGAGCTGGATGAACACAGCAGGCCAAGCAGTATCAGAGGAGCAGGAAGGCTGACGTTTCGGGCCTAGACCCTTCTTCATTCACTTGGCATACAACCAAATGAATTCCATAAACAGCTGGTAGGAAAAAATGCATGGACCGTTAAAATTTCAGTGGTGTACCCACTTGTTAGTACTGGATCCCTCTTTGTCCTTGATATAAGTATGTCTTATGTTTCACAATCTCAAAAGTTACTGAAAACAGAAAAGTAGGAAGTTGACAAAAAGTAAATATGCTCAGGAAGATGGAGACAAAAAGGTTGTCAGATGTGATTTAAGAGGAATAAATGTGTGTTTATTAATTTTGACTGAACCAAGGTTAGTAGAATACATTTATTGGGAAGATATTGAGGGAGGGGGATGAATAGGCAGAGGAAGAATCAAATACACAGTTCCTTGAAAGGGAAAATGTGAATGAGTAAAGACATTAGTGGGGTGTATTGTAGCAGTGAAGGAATAATTAGGAATCCCGTGTCAAACCACTTTGCGAAGTTAGATGGCCATTATGGTAATAAAGATAGAAGACACAAACTGGAGTAAGAAAACTCACTGGGGTGGGGGAGGAAAATGAAAGACTCTTGTATCTGAAAACTTTTTTTGATTTGGAAAAGAAATTGGGGTTTGCTGACATCTATTTGAACTTAATTTTCATTTCTTATCATAATCCAAAAAAATCTATAGTGTTCCCACTCCAAATCTTAATGAATTGCTCCATTAGATTTCTTTGAAAAGAACCATTATTGAATGTATTGTTTTGTTTCCTAATGTCATCCCTAAAACTCTTGCTGCTGCTGTGTTTACCATAACAGATCGTGAGTTATCCAACCGTGCAACTGTGAATTTAAAACAGCTTATATAAAAGCTAACCTATTTATGCTGTTGGTAAGAAAAGTTGGTGCCAGTTCACCTGAGTTCCAACATAGAATACTGTCACAATTTGGGATATTCTTGCATGTGTGGTTGGAATTTTCACAGGAGTTCTATTTGCATTGAAATTTATCTCTCCAGTAAAAAGTGGCGGAAAAGCTGTACAAAATGTGTGAACTCAGGCCCTGTGCATAAAGTTTCTAGCCACTTTCTGGTTATTTGGTTATGCTTCATAGATGGAGGAATTTCTTCTCTGAGTAGTGAACTTGTGGAATTCTTTACCACAGAGGGCCGTCAAGACTGGGTTATTAAGAATATTCAAGGCTGAGATTGATTTCTCATCAGTATGTGAATCAAGGTCTGGAGAAAAGACAAAAAACTGGAATTGAGGATTATTAGATTAGCATTGATGTCATTTGAAAGGCAGAGCAGACCAGATATGTTACTGTGCATGGATGTAAATGAATAGAGCATAGCAAATAAGATTGGGGAATTATAGGCACAGATTGCCACGTGGAAGTATAATATAATGATAACAGAGACCTGGTATTCAAAACAAGATAGAAAAGAAAGGAAAGGAGGTGGGATGGCAGTATTATTTCAGGAAAGCATTTTAGTGCTAGAGAAAGATGTCCCAGAGTTCAAGGACAGATCAGTTGGTTAGAACTAAGGAACAAAAAGGGTACAATTACATTGCTAGGTGTATCTACAGACCGCCAGCTAATGGTAAAGATATGGAGGAACAAATCTGCAGGGAAATTACAGATGCCAATGTTATGTAGTAGTTATAATGGGGGACTTCAGTTACCCAAGTATAGACTGAGACAGTGATAGTGTAAGGGTACTAAGGGACAAGTGTTTCTAGATTGCATTCAGAAGCGTTTCCTACAGTAGTATGTATCCAGTCCACACAAATATAGTACTGTTGGACCTGGATCTTGGAAATGAGATGGGCCAAGTATCATGGGAGATTATTTAGGAGACAGTGATCATTGTATTGTGAGGTTCTAGATGATGGTGGAGAATTACATTTGTCAGTCCAGAGTAAGGAAGGATCAATTGGTGAACAGCCAACTTCTGTAGGGCAAGAACAGAGCTGGGCAAGACAGACAGGAACAAGAGTTTGGCAGGAAAACGTGTAACTGAATAACGGTCTGCCTTCAAAGAGGATGTGGTTTGGTACAGTTTTGATACATTCCCTCAAATGGGAAAGGTAATAGAGATGTACAAAATGGAAACAGACACTTCGGTCCACTTTGTCCATGCCAACCAGCTAGCCTAAATAAATCTAGTCCCATTTGCAAGCATTTGGCCCATATCCCTCTAAAGGCTTTCTATTCATATACTCATCCTGATCCCTTCTAAATATTGTAATTGTACCAGTCTCCTCCACTTCCTCTGGCAGCTCATTCCATACATCCATCATGCTCTGTGTGAAAAGGTTGCCCCTTAGGTCCCTTTTGAATCTTTCCCCTCTCCCCTTAGAAGACTCTGATGTTCAGAGATACTTGAAATCGAACAGCAGAACAGTCAGCTGTGCAGATTCACTGCTGGATCAGACAGCTGTGCAGGTTTATTTCTCCATTTGATTCACTTCCCATGTGGTCACTACCTTTGTCTGTCTTACTCCTTTTTAAAGTGTAGTTGTTTTGATCTTTTTTTTCCCCCAAAGTTCCAAAGTAATGCAACAGCTTATAAAACAGTAATTACTGCTCCTAGAATTCAAGGAAATCAACTCTAATGTTGAAAATACCTGAAAAAGGAGCAGCTCTTGCAGCCACAATTTTTTCCTGTCCTCCATCTTAAATTACCCAGAATCCTCCTCGTAGAACAAACAAATCCAGAATTCCGTGAATGACAAAGAAGATAGAAATAAAGATACAGAAGAAAAATTGTGCTTATGACAGGTGTCAGGTAGATAATGCAGTTGAGATTAAAGAGGAATACAGAACATTCAGACAGCAGGTAAAAAAGCAAATAAGAGAAGTCATGAGAAAAGACTAGCAGCCAACATGAAGGAGTGCTCAAAAAACTTCTCTGGGCATATAAATAGAAAAAGAGAGGTAAAAAGAGGAATAGAGATGATTAAAGACCGAAAAGGGGATTTACATATGAAGGCAGAAATATGACTCTTGTGTTTAATTAGTACTTTGCATCTTTCTTTACCAGATGGGATGCTACCCAGACCATGTTGACAAGAGGAAGACTCTGTGACAGAGGAAGAAACTCTGTCACTAGAAAGGTTTAGAATTGTTAAGGAAGAAGTCTTGAATAGACTGTCGGTACTTAAAGTTGACAAGTCCCCAAGACCAGAGGAGATGCATCTAAGAATATTGCAGGAAGTGTGAGTGTTAATTGCAGGGGCACTCATCATAATTTTTCAGTCTTCCCCAGACCCCATGGAAGTGTCAGAAACTGGAGAATTGCACACATTATGGCCTTGTTCAAGAAAGATTGGAAGGATAAACCTAGAAATTATAGACCAGTCAGTTTACCTTCAGTGATGGGGAAGCTTCTCGAAATAATTATTCAGGATAGAAATAGTGGACACATGGAATAAGGTGGTTTGATTAGAAAAGGTCAACATAGATTTCTAAAGGGGAAATTGTGCTCAACTAACTTGTTGGAGTTTTTTGGGGACACAACGATGAAGGTAACACTGTTAATGTGGTGTTCATTGACTTCCAAAGGCGGTTCTTACAATGCCACAGCCAGACTTATGAGGAAAGTTCTACACCGTGGAATAAAAGGGATTTTCGCAACATAGATACAAAATTAACTTGAGTAATAGGAAACAGAGAAATGGTCAATGGATATTCTTCGGCTGGAGGAAAGTTTGTAGTGAAGTTCCCTAGTTGTAACTGGGACATGTGCTTTTCCTGATGTATATATTAATGATCTAGATCTTGACATACGGAGAGAATTTCAAAGTTTTCAGAATGACACATCTGCAGGGAGAACAATAT